ATGTGAAAGTGTTTGTACAAGTTACGATATGTTTGTTGAAAACATATATTTAGTAAAAATGTTGTCTTAGGTATATTACAAGTATAAAAGATAAAGAAACTTATACGTAGTTGTGTAGTGGATCTCTGTTTAAATATTTTTGTGATCTCTACGAAATATATATAATCTTGTAATTTGTGCATAGATTTTCGCAATTTCTTTTAAAATTACCAACGTAATTATCATAATCGTTCGTCATTGCAGTGTTAATGAAAGAATGTTTCACATGCAAGAATGTCACGTAAATAATACATGTTCGCATTGTGTCCATAAAAAGTTTTTGCACGTGGTCGAATACATTCTTTGTGATTCTGTTGTCGCGTAATACACCTAAGAGAAATTAAAAAGCAAATTAATCAAAAAGAGAAAATCAATTAAAAACAGATTCAATTTGGTCTCTTAAGATGGACATTTTCGCTAAACGTGTGTGATTATTTGAATGTGTTTGAATTTGGATAACAAACGAGAGAACAGTTTTTATAGAAAATACTTTACACTGTAACTTCCAACTAATTCAATTGTTCAGCCATTCATTTTCTATCTCTGTTTCTAAATGCTTGCTTATGATCTTAAAAACATAAGTACTGTACACATGAACTACTGTAATTATTTATTATCGATACTTGGTATCATCTGTTTTAGCGCTAATTTTTATCACGCGAGTGAATCATATTATTGTTACAGTGTCTAGCAAAAAGTTCTAGAAACCTTGAGAGTTATCTGTTATTTGAAGAAAAAAAGAAACACTGAATTATAGTTCTTGCTAAATACGGGTTTGAATATCCGTGGAGAACTGTTCATCTTATTAGTTATGTGTTCCATTGTTGCGTACACGTCTTGTTTAAATTATTTGGTGCAGGAAGCTGTGGACAGTGTTCACAATGTTTCGTCGTCAACCTAAACGATTGCAAGGAAACGATTACATATAAGCGAATTCCTTGCAATGGCATGACAATATTGAGCTAAGTATCTAGAAAATGAATCACGAAGAAGAAATGAATTCGTATGTTGTTCTTGAAATTTACGAATTTTCATCTGGGAACTTTTTGATTTATCTGTCATTCCAAAAGTGTCTATCTTTCCAAAAAGAAATCTAGATAAAGTAACTGACAGCAAGTAACTTTGTAAATAAAAGTCGTTCACGGAATAAATGAAGTCTATGTGATGAGTTATTAATTAATTTATATAGTGTCTCGTACACATCTTCTAAAATGGATATAAAACATGTTAATATCGGCTATAGTATTCTGAATAGTTTTAAATTAAATCTTAGCTTGTGCGTCTTCCTTATAAATGTCTTTGAATGTAAATAACGAAATTTTTGATTGTCCAAAATTTCAATTACTGACACAAGGAACACTCACTTAATTCGTTATAAAGTATCTCACGTGCACCATCACTCTTTCGTATTCTCTTCACATCAAATTTCGTCCAAGTCACAAACCATTCTCAACTCTAAATTCTTTCCATCTCGAGCGAACAAAACAGACTAACTT